GTAGCTAAGAGATCATTCTTGTGGAGATCATGACATATCCTCAAGGCTTCTTTATCGCAGCTTAGAGATTATCTTTGGTGGAGATCACGACTTATCCTCAACGGAAGGAAGAGGTTGGGGAACTCTTGAAGGAAACGTGGTCAAAGATTGGACCGTTTCCTTCCTTCGGTGGTGCGGATAAGCTTCCCGTGCTCTCTTCTTGGTGACGTGCTAAGCAAGAAGTCTAACCGGCCTTGGGCTCCTTAAGGCGGTGCAGATAAACTTCTCGTGCTCTCCTCTTGGTGACGTGCTAAGCAAGAAGTCTAGCCGGCCTTGGGCTGTCTTGGACTTGGTGGATTTGGACTGTTCCTTAAGGCGGTGCAGATAAACTTCCCGTGCTCTCCTCTTGGTGACGTGCTAAGCAATAAGTCTAACCGGCCTTGGACTGTCTTGGACTTGGTGGATTCACAATGAGGTTGGGCTCCTCAACCGGGGTTGGACTTTAATACATAAATTGGACTATTTGTGCTTAACCCATCAAAAGTAAATGGACTTTTTGGGTGAATGAATTTCAAGCATTTGAAAAGAAATGCCATGGGACTTCTAAAGGAGATTTGGGCATCAAGAATGTGATAATACATGTAATTGCACTTAAAGTAAACTCTTAAATTTCTTTTTTATGTAAGGGGCAAGGTTTATGTCCTCCCCTATTTTCTTTATAATTTTGTCATTAATAAAGTTTACCCTACATGGGTTTAACTTAAAAATAAATAAATGTGTTGTTTGATGCCAATTAAGTTGTAAGTGCATATCATTTACAAATAAGTTGTAGTTTTATGTCTAGATCCAAATTTTATTATGGATTATGGAAGCAACAGAATGATAGTCCTTTGGAAGGACTTTTGTCAACTAGCTATGACTACAGATTTGGTGGAGTGCAAGAGTTTGATTGGATTATGCATGGACAATCTCAGATTTTGGAGAGTTAATAGAGGATCTCGGTCTGCAAGACGTTTTGTATCTGTTTTAGACACGATGTTTATAAAGATTGTAGTGGCGAAATTTTGGAAGAGTAATTTGGCATCAGATTGTAAAGTTTACTGGCATATATACATTTTCTTGACTCTCCACATCCAACTGCTTTAACAGGTGACGATATTTCTTCCTAATGGGCGAGATTCTTGGAATTCAAATAAATGAAAATGTCTATTGTGCAAGAGTAATGTTATTGAGACTTAAAAAATATATCTAATTTATTAACTTAATGATATGATAGTGAGGTGGTCTAATAGTATTAGTGTGACTATAACTCTTGGACTTTTTCATTGAGATTTTATCAGTTTACATGGCATTATGTCAATAAATAAGGTTAATTTTTTAGATCCCAATAATATTACTCATTATGCGATGGATAGAAGATTTGGAAAGTGATCCCCATCCTACAAATTAGGGTTCCTAATTTATTTTGGAATATTTTTAGTAATTGTATTTTGTCCAAATAAGGGATAAGGTTCTAAGAGCATCTCCAACTATGACTCAAATTTATATTTAAATTTAAATTAACATTTGAGTAAAAAACTTGATTTGATATAAAGAACTCTAATGGACAAACTCAAATTTAAAGAAGGAGAGACCCAAATTTAAATGAGGGCAAACCCAAATTTAAAAGGGAGTAAGGATGACTATTGAATCTTTAAAAGATTGTGAAATTTCACCATTAAAGATTTGAGTAAAAATTTGAGTTTCCCTTAATTTAGGTAAAAAAAATAAGTTTTCCTTAATTTGGTATAAGTTTGAGTAAGAGTTGGAACAAGTTTTTTAGATTTTTTTACTCAAATTTAAATTTGAGTAAGGATTGAAAATGTCCTAATTCGCCCTAACTAAGATTTTAAATTATCCATGAATATATCGTCTTTGTTCCAACTCATGGATAACTCTACATAGATTTGGATGTGTTTCATCACGGAAGAAATTCAATTATGTTTGATTGTTTATGAGTTGCATAGTCCTAAAACTATAGACAAGTGGCTTTTGTGGAGTGATTGCTGGTGTTAAAATCAATTATTAATTTTTTTTAATAGGATTTTCATATTTTCTTGGTAATGTTTTTTTTTAATATTACGTGAATGTCTTCAGGCACTATCAATTACTCGAGAATGACTTTGTGATGTCCGAAATAATTTGGCCAAGTTTAAGTTATAATAGATTTTTGATTTTGAATAAAAATGTGAAAGTGTATTAGATCTGAAATTTATAAGTCAAATATAGCTCAACCAATGATATTGCTTGGCCAATGCAATTATTCATTGAAGTCTTAGCTTCCATTTTGTAACAGGCTTCCTTGCAAAGCCCTGTCTTTTATTATCTCATTAAAATTTTCAACAATTGTGTACATATGTTAGTTATTTTTGGGGTTTTGTTTTAGTGAAAAATTTTGCTAAATTTTTTAAAAAAGTATGAGTCCAAATTTTTTAAAAAAGTATGGGTCCAAATTTTTTATATAGTGCCTTCAGGCACAAACAATAACTAGTATATATATATATGTGTGAGAGAGAGAGAGAGTCCTAACATATATATGAATATAGATAGATAGGAGAGAGAAATTTATCAAAAAAAAAAAGATAGGAGAGAATTTTTTTTTTAATATTAGTTAAACTCCTAAAATTTAAGATTTTTTAATTTTTAATTTTAGTTCACTTTTAAAGGGAAAAGGATAGTCTGACAAAATTGACAAAAAAAGACTTCATAACAAATAAGTTTTCTTAACAGACTTAAATCCAAATAAATCCATATAATGGACCAGCCTCCAAATTTTTCTTAAAAAAAAAACTTGGGTTTAAGGTCCTAAATTTTTAGAAGATCCCCATAATTTTAAATACATTACTAACTTAAAAAATTTTAAATTCATTAAATTTTTAACCTTACAAAAAAAAGGCCTCAAAAAATTAAATACAATCAAAATTTTTATTGTAATAATTTGGATTCATGATCCAATCCATAATATTACAAACCTAAAAATTATAAGTTGAAAAAATAAAAAGTACTAAAAAATTAACTCATATCTACCCTTACCCACTCTCTTTTTGTGTAAAAATAAGTAAAAAATTAAAATTAAACTCTTTTTCTGGTAAAATATAAAAATAAAAGATAAAATATTTTTTTCAGTAATACTAACACATAATTCTTTTGTCTCTCTCTCACATAATAAATTAAAAATTAATATTAAAAATAAAAAAAAACTCATTTAATATTGTGATTTTAGGACTCAAATTACTTTGAGTCACCCTGCTCTAAGTATATATCACATAAAATGATTATTTGAACTTAATTTGAGGATCGAATCTAAAGACATAATTTATTATAACTTTTTGATTAAAAGTCGATTCTATCTAATATTAAAACTCATAATTAATTTAATAATTACATTAAATTAGGTTCTATAGCGTAATTTATATATCACGTATGTTTCGCTAAAATTGGTGGTTCTTGTTCTGTCAAAACCCTTTTAAGATACCATTTTTCACTTTTGTAAGTACTTTTTTTTTAATCTTAAATTTTGATTTGAATTATTTATAATTAAAATTAAAATAATAAAATAAAATAGTCATTTTGTGGTTGGACATGAATAAGAGATACGTAAGACCGTGTGTAGTGGGCGCATGAATGTTCTCAGCCCACCCAGGTTTAACCGGGTCGGATTCCTTGTCGTCAAATTGAGCTTAGACCGCGACTGGGCAGGTAAAACCTAGATAGAAGAAAAGCGGTTGGTTCAGAGGAATTTGGCGGGAAAATGGTGCTGCTCAAACTGTCCAAATTCAAACTTCAACTCCAAGCCCTAGTTTCCGAAGTTCGTGAACTCAGAGTAATGCTCATCACCATCACCTCTCTCTCTCTCTCTCTCTCTTAGATTGATCCATTTACCGGAACTTTTTAGGAAAGGGAACTCTCGGCCCACGAGCAACTTCAACTATCAATCCAGGTTTAGTTCAAATCATTTCACTTTCCAGCGCCATTGACACACACTCACGTCATGTATTATACATTTATTATAAACATAGTGATATACTTGAACTCATGCCTAAGCTTGCGATTGTGGGTTTCGTACTTGATTTAGAAACAAAAACAAACCGAGGAAGAATTCAATACAAAATTAACGGGATTAGAAGCGGAATTAGCTTTATCGAATGAACTTGGCCAAAAACTCGAGATGAAGGTATGCTAACTCTTACCATTGCTAGTTATGTGTTTGTGGAAATTATTGTTTGAATTCAAGTAAATGACGGTATCGATATTTATTTATTTTATAGATGGTTAATTAATTACGTTAATTTTTGCTTGTTGTCCCAGGTGAGATACCTTCAGAGTGACAATACTATGCTTGAGAATAAGCAGAAAGAGTTGAAGGGAACTATTAACAGCTTACTCCAATCAAGGGATGGTTTCCTAAAATCATATGAGGTTTGCATCAGTTCAAATTTTCTAGTAAATAGGTTTAGAAGAAGTTATTTTAACCATCTTGCTTGAGAAATGAAAAGTGGGTACACTGGTAAAAGTTTATAGACATTTATGCAAAAAATGATGGATAGTGAAACATGATAGTAACTTAAAACCTTATTGAGGAAATTAAAGGCGAACTGACAGGAATACTTATTTTCTAAAGAAGAATTATAATTTTCCTGTCTCTAGTATTTTGAGATGGCATGAGCAACTGAATTACTAAGGGCACACCTCGATGTATAATTTGTGCCCAATGCCCAAAAAAGAGATAGTCATTTCATAAAGTGATTGAGGGAGGTAGTTTCATTTGATTTGGACGATGCTACGAAATCCATAGATGATTGGGTTTTGATTTGCAAAACTGCACCGTATTTTTTGTGTTCTTAAGTTCCATTGAGCTCTTTGATTTTCTGGTTTATGATTTCTGTGACAATTTTGAGTCTCCTATCAGAATCATTTTTTTTAATTGTATCGTTAAGGCTTTGTTATACCATGCAGTTCATTTAACCAGTATACAGATAAATGTGGTCAATTTGTCATATTGATGTGCAGGACTCTACTTGTGAAATGAAGCGATCTATTGAATCCAGAGATAGAAAGATTGCTGTCCTTTTGGAGAAGATAAATGCTCATTTATTGTTAATTGGTACTATTGAAAAGGAGGCTTCATCTGTCAAGCAAGTTGTGGATAATGTCCAACATGCTCTCAATGATAAAGAGGAAGTAGGTATGTATCTTTCTGAACTCTTACATTCTCCAGGTGCTTGCTCAATAGCTCATGAATGGATGTGCATTGTAAACAATTTGTACACACATTGAAACTGCAAGATTGGCTTTTCCTTTCAAAGAATTTTCTTGCTGTGTTCAGTGGCTGGACTAAAGAGCAAATTGGATAAGGTTTCTACATTTGAAATGCTATTTGTTGGTAAGTGCAAATTTTTGTTGCCTGCCATTTTAGCAAGTGTTATTCTTTAATGTACGATGTCATTTTCTTTATGGTATTACTATTAAGGAGTGATATATCAGTGATTTGGACTTCTCAACTATGTTTGTAAAACATGGGCATATCATTATTTTGGACTCCTCAACTATGCTTGTAAGGTTGCAGAAAATTAGACCCATGGTACTTCGGTTGGACTTATTGGCTCTATAATTGCAATAGTTGTTATCTATCGCGTCATTATTTCGAGATTCTCAACAAGCCTTGCGACCCAGCTTAATACTTTTTCTTATAACATGCTATATATGTGCATTGATTATGATTTGTAAAACCAGAATTTAGTCTTTTCCTTGCAGAAAAGATCAATAACCTGGAGAGTAAATTGAGAAATGATGAGGATGACCTTGGAAGAAAGTACAAAATAATTATGGAGCTGGAAGCACAGATGGAGGCTGCAAAATTTACTAATAAAAGCCATCCTCAGATAGATGAGATATCCATCTAGCTTATATGCAGATCTATATGTTTTGTTATTTTAAATACTGAAGTTTAATATTGAACTAAATACACTTCCTGTAAGCATTTGCCCTAACCAGCCTCACCTTCAGAAAATTGTGTCAGCAAAGGATTTGATCATACAAAATCTAATCTCGGAGAAAAAGGTCTCGCTTGAAGATTTGTGGTTCTTTTCGTTTCTATGTACAGTTTTTAATTTGACTTACAGTTTTTAATTCGAATTTTGGTAACTNTGTCAGCAAAGGATTTGATCATACAAAATCTAATCTCGGAGAAAAAGGTCTCGATTGAAGATTTGTGGTTCTTTTCTTTTCTATGTACAGTTTTTAATTTGACTTACAGTTTTTAATTCGAATTTTGGTAACTTTATCTGGAATGCTAAACATTCAGGCATTGCAGTTTGAACTTGGGAGTTTAGGAGTTATCGTAAAGAAGATTCAGGACACTGTCATACAAATGAATGAGGAGGTCAGAGAAAGGGGTTTGCTTTGTTTTATTTTTATTATATGTGGGTTCATATTACTTTTTGTATAAACTGGTATCAAACTTTAAGCTCTATAAGTTTATTTTGGAAAGTTNTTAAAATAATAAAATAAAATAGTCATTTTGTGGTTGGACATGAATAAGAGATACGTAAGACCGTGTGTAGTGGGCGCATGAATGTTCTCAGCCCACCCAGGTTTAACCGGGTCGGATTCCTTGTCGTCAAATTGAGCTTAGACCGCGACTGGGCAGGTAAAACCTAGATAGAAGAAAAGCGGTTGGTTCAGAGGAATTTGGCGGGAAAATGGTGCTGCTCAAACTGTCCAAATTCAAACTTCAACTCCAAGCCCTAGTTTCCGAAGTTCGTGAACTCAGAGTAATGCTCATCACCATCACCTCTCTCTCTCTCTCTCTCTCTCTCTCTCTCTCTTAGATTGATCCATTTACCGGAACTTTTTAGGAAAGGGAACTCTCGGCCTACGAGCAACTTCAACTATCAATCCAGGTTTAGTTCAAATCATTTCACTTTCCAGCGCCATTGACACACACTCACGTTATGTATTATACATTTATTATAAACATAGTGATATACATGAACTCATGCCTAAGCTTGCGATTGTGGGTTTCGTACTTGATTTAGAAACAAAAACAAACCGAGGAAGAATTCAATACAAAATTAACGGGATTAGAAGCGGAATTAGCTTTATCGAATGAACTTGGCCAAAAACTCGAGATGAAGGTATGCTAACTCTTACCATTGCTAGTTATGTGTTTGTGGAAATTATTGTTTGAATTCAAGTAAATGACGGTATCGATATTTATTTATTTTATAGATGGTTAATTAATTACGTTAATTTTTGCTTGTTGTCCCAGGTGAGATACCTTCAGAGTGACAATGCTATGCTTGAGAATAAGCAGAAAGAGTTGAAGGGAACTATTAACAGCTTACTCCAATCAAGGGATGGTTTCCTAAAATCATATGAGGTTTGCATCAGTTCAATTTTTCTAGTAAATAGGTTTAGAAGAAGTTATTTTAACCATTTTGCTTGAGAAATGAAAAGTGGGTACACTGGTAAAAGTTTATAGACATTTATGCAAAAAATGATGGATAGTGAAACATGATAGTAACTTAAAACCTTATTGAGGAAATTAAAGGCGAACTGACAGGAATACTTATTTTCTAAAGAAGAATTATAATTTTCCTGTCTCTAGTATTTTGAGATGGCATGAGCAACTGAATTACTAAGGGCACACCTCGATGTATAATTTGTGCCCAATGCCCAAAAAAGAGATAGTCATTTCATAAAGTGATTGAGGGAGGTAGTTTCATTTGATTTGGACGATGCTACGAAATCCATAGATGATTGGGTTTTGATTTGCAAAACTGCACCGTATTTTTTGTGTTCTTAAGTTCCATTGAGCTCTTTGATTTTCTGGTTTATGATTTCTGTGACAATTTTGAGTCTCCTATCAGAATCATTTTTTTTAATTGTATCGTTAAGGCTTTGTTATACCATGCAGTTCATTTAACCAGTATACAGATAAATGTGGTCAATTTGTCATATTGATGTGCAGGACTCTACTTGTGAAATGAAGCGATCTATTGAATCCAGAGATAGAAAGATTGCTGTCCTTTTGGAGAAGATAAATGCTCATTTATTGTTAATTGGTACTATTGAAAAGGAGGCTTCATCTGTCAAGCAAGTTGTGGATAATGTCCAACATGCTCTCAATGATAAAGAGGAAGTAGGTATGTATCTTTCTGAACTCTTACATTCTCCAGGTGCTTGCTCAATAGCTCATGAATGGATGTGCATTGTAAACAATTTGTACACACATTGAAACTGCAAGATTGGCTTTTCCTTTCAAAGAATTTTCTTGCTGTGTTCAGTGGCTGGACTAAAGAGCAAATTGGATAAGGTTTCTACATTTGAAATGCTATTTGTTGGTAAGTGCAAATTTTTGTTGCCTGCCATTTTAGCAAGTGTTATTCTTTAATGTACGATGTCATTTTCTTTATGGTATTACTATTAAGGAGTGATATATCAGTGATTTGGACTTCTCAACTATGTTTGTAAAACATGGGCATATCATTATTTTGGACTCCTCAACTATGCTTGTAAGGTTGCAGAAAATTAGACCCATGGTACTTCGGTTGGACTTATTGGCTCTATAATTGCAATAGTTGTTATCTATCGCGTCATTATTTCGAGATTCTCAACAAGCCTTGCGACCCAGCTTAATACTTTTTCTTATAACATGCTATATATGTGCATTGATTATGATTTGTAAAACCAGAATTTAGTCTTTTCCTTGCAGAAAAGATCAATAACCTGGAGAGTAAATTGAGAAATGATGAGGATGACCTTGGAAGAAAGTACAAAATAATTATGGAGCTGGAAGCACAGATGGAGGCTGCAAAATTTACTAATAAAAGCCATCCTCAGATAGATGAGATATCCATCTAGCTTATATGCAGATCTATATGTTTTGTTATTTTAAATACTGAAGTTTAATATTGAACTAAATACACTTCCTGTAAGCATTTGCCCTAACCAGCCTCACCTTCAGAAAATTGTTTCAGCAAAGGATTTGATCATACAAAATCTAATCTCGGAGAAAAAGGTCTCGCTTGAAGATTTGTGGTTCTTTTCGTTTCTATGTACAGTTTTTAATTTGACTTACAGTTTTTAATTCGAATTTTGGTAACTTTATCTGGAATGCTAAACATTCAGGCATTGCAGTTTGAACTTGGGAGTTTAGGAGTTATCGTAAAGAAGATTCAGGACACTGTCATACAAATGAATGAGGAGGTCAGAGAAAGGGGTTTGCTTTGTTTTATTTTTATTATATGTGGGTTCATATTACTTTTTGTATAAACTGGTATCAAACTTTAAGCTCTATAAGTTTATTTTGGAAAGTTTCCACCATAATATTGAATTATATTGACCATTTTGCGTATAAATTTTTTTCGCTTTAGTATTTCAAACGTAACTTTTTTTTAAAAAAAAAATGAATCTTTTGGTTAACCATATTGATGCCGCAGTTATATAGTCCTTTTTACGCCTATGTATATTTTTGGTATGCCAGAGATTTATGATCCTTGTTTTACGTATCTATTATCCTTCAGATGCCAAAGAGATATAAAGTATACAATCTATTCTATTGGTGCTCTGTTTGATCCCCGGTGGGTCCTCTCAAATTAAAGTCTTGCCTCTAGCAGCCTGTTTTGGGGTGTTTTCCTGATTAGTCTTCAAATTAAGCTTCTTTGACTTCCTGAGCTTTCGTATACCGAATTGCCTAGGCTAATTGGGTATCATGTATTACAGGCCTCTAATTCCTGAATATTATTGATCTAATGCCAGGATAGAAGGTCGTTCTCCTCAATGCTGGTAGGCCAAGAAGAATGTGAAAAAAATAGAGATGAGGAAAATAACAGGTGGGAGCATATACTTCTGGCCAGTTTCTATTTTCAAGTTGAACCAAGTTTGAATGTAGCATGTCTTTTTCCAGAAGCTAAGTTATACAATGGATGATACAAAGAATCATTCTTCAGATGGTACTAATTGTATGTTGCATTGGAAAGCCCAAACAGATGGAGTGCTGCACTTAAATTTTTCTTCTGCTGGATAAGTATTATGTTTTTCATTTTGTGTGTTGCCGGCATACCAGGACTGAAGATGTTCAAAATCATAGGGAAAAGTCTCCTCATAAGGGTTCTGGGAGAGAAGCTACAAAAAACACAGGTTTACTCTGTTTTCTTGCATCACTTTTCTTCTTTTTTTGGGCTGTCATAGAGGAACAAATATTATTCCAAAAAAGTCATGTCATTTATCATACTATATATGAAGAGTGTCCATTCTGCTGGAATCTCAAGCTAGGACTCTAGCATGAAGAAGCTAGCTAAGCTCACTAAATCCTATACTGGGAAGGTCAAATGCAGTTAAACCTTGGCTGTTTTTTGTTGGAATGATACTACAGCCAGTTGTAGCCGATGATAGTAAGTTATGAACAATGGCTGTTGCTTTTGTTTTCATATCTACTTATCTGTATCTCCTTGGGTATAAGAACCTAAAAGCAGCCTTCAGATGATCATTGATGGAAGAAAAGATTTTGAAGTGCATAAATTGTGAGAAGGTTTAGGTGCTTTTGTAATATTGAAAATCTAAAGTCCTTGAAGCTCACAGCATGACGTATCTGCCTCATCACCTGATGAATTTCAGGAGTTACATATTTGCAATAATTCTAATTGTGTTCTACTACATTGTTCAGTGAGAATCGAACTTACAGCTTGTTTCTGTGGCCCCCAGAATTCCTTACAATTCAGTATGGTAACCTCTCAAATAACAGCAGAATCCATTTTCTGATCCCCATGGAAAGATGGAAATTAGGAACTTTTTACAAGTTTTAAATTTTGCAGCTTCCATTGTTGAAAGTGAATCCATCCACAAATTGGAGCCATGACCACATGTTGAAAATTGAAATGTCACTTATAGACGTCCACTAAACTATTTTGACACATGCAACTGATAGTTATTCAGAAATGTTTTGTAATAACTAATGTGAGATCCTAATGCATTATGGTAGACCACTCTAATAGAGTACTCCATCATGTGGCACCATTATTGTTAGGCCGACAAGAATGACTTAAAACTTTTTAAAATTCCTTTTATTGTTAAATGCAGCTTCACCTCTATGTCAGGAGTGTAATTCCATTAGCAGCCCCTTGATGGAGAACAATAACCTTGACAACTCTTGTTTGTCAGAGGCAAGTGGACTTTTTAACCTACTGTTTGCAGATAAGTTTTTCATGACTCAGTTGTGTGTAATGCATCCAAGGGCAGCTAACCTTGACTTCTTCAATGATATAATGGCAGCCTGCATGTTCTCTTCCACGTTCAGCTTGCTCAGAGCCGGAGTCTGCTGCCAATATCCCATCTGGTGCTGATACAAAGGTATTGAAGCCTTAGCCTTTTCCAAAAAGAACAATACTTGGCTCTTAGGTTGTTAGCCAACTTCATTATGTTCATGTCATTATTGATAGGATCAACCAGGATTAAGTTTCAGTGTGTCTATATGTGTGTACACGTGCTTTCTTTAACATCAATTTAACACTAATGAGAATTTTATTTGATTAAACCTCTCTCTCTCTCTCATACAGGATAACTGCACCACATTAGTACATCACCTGGATTCTGAGTGCTCAACAACACAAGCGGATGCCTCATAAAATCTGGGTTAGTGTTATGTATTGTGCATATAACATTTTGGTGTGGAGTCATGTAAATCATATATTGGAGACATGTAGATGATTTGTGGCTTTCTGGCTCTGATGGCTGGAAGCCTTTTCTCAGCAATTCTCCACTGCTCCATTTGACTAGGGTACAACAACATATAGGGCTATAGTGATTTGCACATGTAGCAAGATTTTGGATCTACAATAACGTACTCTCTTCAAGGTTTGTGCATTCATCGTCACCCTCTAATAAGCACAAGTAAGCAGTAATTTGAAAATGGGGTACTATTGCCTAGAATGGTCCAGGGTTGTATGGACTATACTAAACGTTGTCACATTTGTCAAATCCACGGACACTAGATAAAGACAATGCCAAAGCCCATGCATTCTACCGTAGCATCTTGGCTTAGATCTGCTAGTACGGAACTTACTGCTCAAGTGTACGAAAAAAAGAATTTTTTTTGAACCGTCCCCTACACTTCCCTTATACATCAATAGGGAGTTGCTAAGTGGCTTATAGACATTGAATTCAGATATTAGATATGATAGGATTAGCATTTTTCCATTATATGCCACTCTGTCCCAGAGGCGAGATCTGACCATCATCATCAATCCAGGCTAACCCGTGACATTAGCTTGGAAATACTAGGAACACCAACAATCCACCAATCTTTCAAACATTGAGCCCGTTGGGCTTCAAAACTCGGGCTGACCTAACACTGGTCAACGCATGGGCATTGGTCTCACTTTAATTTTGCTGGATTCCAGGACATAACGAAGCATGTGAAGACTTGCAGTACAAGTCAATGATTTGACCAAAGTGGATCTGCCCGAATGGTTAAGGAGTTGTCTAGCAGAGCCGGCCCAACAGTAGAGGCAAAGAAGCGTGGTATAATTGAGGCCCAAATTCTAAATGCATAATATTGTCAGTCAATACCAAAATAATCTTTTATAAAGAGTAAGCCTAATAAAAAAATTTTATGTTCAATGCCCTAGATTTATCCATAAATCAGCTAACAAATTAAATTTTATTGTTTCATATTTTTAAGGCTCTTGTTTAAATTCAAGCTTATTTTGTTTTAACTGTAGATTCTTTTTGATCATATGTACTTATTCTGATTATATATTATAGGCAACCAGTTGGATATAAAAAATTAAAAAAACTAATTGCACCTCAAAAAAATTTATAAAAATTTGTTACAAGTATCAAACAAAAAGATATGTTAGTAATTGATAAGATGTGATAACAAAATTTGAGAACACAATAATTTGATTAAGAATGTATATTTGAACTAGCGAGAATTTTTTTAAAAAAGAATTATATTAACATTAAAAAAATCAAAATACCTTAATCGGATTTGGCACTTTAAGTCTCAATATGTGTTGGGCCGCTCTTGTTGTCTACTGGTTTGAGTCTCATCAGTCACATTGTGATTTCATTTCCACTTTCCTTTGGAAGTAGATTGCATTTAACTGTGTATATCTATACTATTAATAAAAAAGTATCTTAAATGAAACTTTTTTGATTTACTATTCTACCCTCATAAAAAATTCTAAATGTCATACTATCTTTCTATAGTCAAATATCTAAATTACAATTACATCCTTATGTATTTAAATTTTTGAATTACATTCTAACATCTCTTTTAATTTTTTATTATCTTTGTATAAATATCAATTTTTATGAAAAATTTTAATTGATTACGTTACCCTTAAAAAAAATATATGCATCATTACAGTTTTCAATAAAGTGTTTAAAAACTTATTCAATATTTTATTACCAATTTCAAATATAGAGACAACATTATGCCTATATATANTCATTATAGTTTTCAATAAAGTGTTCAAAAACTTATTCAATATTTTATTACCAATTTCAAATATAGAGACAACATTATGCCTATATATATGTATTTTGTTTCCATCTATACTACTAATAAATAATGAAACTTTTGCCTTAGCATAAAAAAATTTTGATTCATTATTTTACTCTTATAAAAAATTTTAAATACCACACTAGCTTTCTATAGTTGAATATCTAAATTACCAACATATATTTATGTATTTAAATCTCTAAATTATCCCTAACATCTCTTTTAATTATTTATTTATTATGTATAAATATCAATATCTATGAAATTTTTTAATTGACTCTGTTACCTTTAAAAAATATATGTATCACTCTAATTTTTAATAAAACGTTCAAAAAATTTTCAAAAACTTAATAAACATAATATTATTCATTTTAAATATAAAGATAACATTATATTTACATATGTGTATTTTTTTATCCAAAATTGTAATCATTTTATTTTTAAGATAAAAAATAATTTTTTTTGTATTTTTTTTAAAAATAATTTATGTTAAACCAACATAATTTTTCAATCACTATAACATTTTCATGTTTTATTAAGAGTTTATATAAAAAAAAACTTATAGTATATTTTTAAGGAAAACTTGAATAATACTTTTAGTCCTTAAAATATACATGTTTTGATAGTTTGGTCTTTATTGTATCAATTTGTCAATTTGGTTCCTAAAATGTTTAGTTAATATTTAAATGATTCATACACAGACAATCTATTATGTTTTTGACAGAAGTGATCATGTGTTAGTTACGTGAACTATCTGACAGAATGACACATGATTACTTCTGTTAAAAAACTTAATGGATTGTCTGGTTATGAATCATTTAAACAATAATTAAATATTTTAGGGATCAAAAATCATAGATTTCAATGAAGAACTGTAGAATAAGATAACTATAAATCACAATTATATGTACAAATCAAATAAAAAAAGCAGTGTAATATGTACATTGATATTAATTATTATTAAAAAAATTAGGTAGACAGAGGGTCATGACTCTTCGACTATGTATTAACTATGATTGGTCATGACTCTTCGACTATGTATTAAGTATGATTTATGACATCATTTATAACATAGTAATATATTTTTTCACCTTTTCATACACTCAACTAAATGATTGTCTATTAGAAATTAAGTAGACATCGACATTATTTATGTCTCTTAATCTTCTTTTGTTTAACTGTATTTTGATCAAATTCTCTCTCTCAGAAAACAGGGCAAAAGTCCTCTGATCGTCATACAAACCAATTGAAAAACCTTTTAACTTCTCTCTCTCACCATCCAGTTTGAAAACCTTTTATCTTTTCTCTCTCCTTCTCCTTCCCTCTCTCTCTCTTAAACATCCTCTGAAACCGGATAAACTACATATACATAATACTTTTTACTATATATTTTGTATGCGAAAATTATCCACGTGCAATGCACGTAGTGCATTACTAGTTAAATAAAAGAGAAAGAACAGACAAATGATTTTTTTTGAAACCTTAATTATATTTGTGGAGGCGAATGAAAAAAGTCTTTTTGTGTTAAGCGGTGAACCAATTCTTTGATGGATTCAGCATCGCTTGCAACCACGACAACGTCATTATTAGCTGGTCGAAGAGAGAGAGAGAGAGAGAGAGAGAGAGAGAGAGAGAGTTTTGAATTTAAATTTTAAATTTATAATGAAGATTTTATTGATATATTTTAATTAACATTGAAGTAAGGGAAAACAATTTTCAAGATAGAAAATTAATTTAACTTCTTTCCAAGAAAGAGTATTTTGAAGAACAAAAAATAGTAGACTTAATTACTTATTAGTAAGATTAAAAATGAACTTATTTTCAGATAAGTTTATGTGAAAGACTTGAGTTGTTATAAGTCCTTTTAAAAGGATTCAATCCCAATTTTACTAAATCAAGTCCCGTAAGCGTTAAATATAGTTGAATTTGTTGGTATAAAGTGCCGTTCAAGTCGGGCAAACTACATGCCTTCTCACAACTTACAATGAGAACTGCCCAGTTCATTAGGATCTCGTCTTTGGACATCCACAATGTGAAACATAGTAGTTTGATTTTTAATTTCATTTTCAGGTGGAATATGTTCTTTTGAATAGAGCCATACAAGTTGGGCCAAATCTTTTTACCCATTCCTCATTTTTTCTTTTAATAGAGTTGTCATTTTGCCAAACCACTCTCCAACATGAGACACCTTCGTGTCATTCTGTATGTGTTGTGTTTGTGTTAATAAAAAATTATTTAATTCGACAATAACTTATATAATGCTATTTAAAAAATTATAAGATATCTATTTTCTCTCTTCAGTATTTGTTAGATATTTATTTTCTATCTATAGTACTTGTTAATTGTATTATTATTGTTTAATCTTAATTTGACCAATTTATTATTTGTGTTAATTAATCTTGTCATTTTTGAATTTTGTATCGTATCGAATTCGTGTTAATGGATAAAATTGACACCCCTGATTTAGAGTCAACTATAGTTTACCTAGAACAGGCTGGCCTAGGCTATGTAATCCCTTGGTTTCTGTAAATTTCTCATCATTTTGGGAACAAGCTATAGTTTAATTGATTTAACATTTGAGGGTGCAATTTTGTCTTCATTGATAATCTGTACATAGGGTGTACATGTGGGCCAAGAACCATCTTGGATGTCGGGTTAGCCGGGCCGGCCCACGGCTTAGTTACTATAGGGCCATAGGCAATTTTGAGAACCTTGACAACACTTGTGCCCAGACCCAGGCTGTGGACAGCTCTACTATACGGCACCCGAAGTGACAATTATTTTCCAAATGTTACGATGTTAGATCATATCTCATGAATGTATATAGGATCCGTAGTATTCAAGTGGGTCCACCATTTATGGTGAAGAAGTCAAGACGAGAGAGAGAGAGAGAGGGGGGGGGGAGGGGGGAAAGAGTTATAATATAAAATGTGTCATTGTTGCTATTTTCGATGTTGAAACAGTTACATCATGGGTGATCTAGTATAAAGGAAAACTAAAGATTTGAAGAGAAAGTGCTTGTACATAAAATGTTGATGACCAAATGAATGACGTCACCTTATATATATATATATATATATTGCGTACACCCAAAAGAATATTACTTCATCTTAGTGGTTAAGATTGAACATCCATCTTTCAGGTAGAAGAAGCAGGTAAGAACCTAGCAACTGCACAAACTTCCAACTAATATTCTATTGGAGTACTTGTTGTAGAAGAGTCAAAATCATTGGCACTACAATCTAAGTTTATCATTAATTCGATATTTATGATAGAAATATGTATGTATATATATTTATATACACACACATACACATATAATGTATCTTATGGGTAGGGGGTGTGTGTGTGTTGAGAGTAGGGTCAGGGGGGGTTGGGGTTGGGGAATTAGAAGTGTTTGATGACCATACATTTCAGACGTATACAAGAGGATTGAAGATATTTATTGGTGTGATTCTGGTGACCAAACCTCAGCCTTTAAGATAATTTGTTTTAAGCTATACTCGTTTATGTCTTAATAATATATCTATGGTCTTTATGAGTTTCAGGAAAAGGTGAGAGGGCAAGGATCCTCTGCAATACTGTAGGCGTGTTATTGATTTTGCATATAGAACGATGTCATTTTATGGATAAAATGATATTATTTAAAAGAACTATACGCCTGCAAACAGCAGCAGAGTTGGTGAGATTGACCAATGGGCATTGCTTATCCCACATGCTACTCTTCCTTCCAAATCTGTAATTTCGATAACTTAGAAGAAAACAATGATAAAGGTGATGATCACGAGGAGTATAGCTATTAAATGCTTCGTTTTTTTTAAATAATTGAGAATCTTTCTTAATACATACCCTTTAATCTACTATGTAAACTAGGGATGAAATTCAATACACTTATAGATAATGGTCCCATTAATTATGTGTGGAATCAGTTGAAGCTGCCTTGGGATTATTTTTGACCAGGGCTATCTCGTGTAATCTTATTTGAACTTAAAAATTTAATCCAATTTGTTAGTTTAATGATGTAATGTTATTGGAACTATTACATCAACAACAAGTTTCAATATTTAATAGAGTCCATACTCAATCCAAATATCATAATAAATTAAATTAATACAGATCAGTAAATTAGGTCTCAATAGTATTATTC